ACCCTCGCCAGAGGGAAGCCCCGGGTGAAAGTTTCCCTCCCAGCTGGACCCATAGAAGGGGAAGCACCCCTTGCTAGCTGGGATCCATAGGTAAATGCGCCTTATATCGTGTAAAACTGTGCCTCATATTTTGTATAATTGTTATCATAATTATGAATACGTTGTACAAAATGTTATGCAATTGGGTTAGCTTTGTATAATGGGTTTTTGGCTTATCATATTGTAAATATTTATCTGTATACCTTTGGTGTTGTTAAAAAATATTGCTAAGAATATTTTCAGAAAGTTTTCCTTTGTTACCTACTAGAATATTTACCTATACACATATCACTTCTTATTCAATATATATATATAATTCAATAAACTGTAAATAGTTAAGAGCATTGGCATGGAGTTGACTCTATAGAGGAAAGAGGGACCCACGCTCAAATCACCGGTGTCCTCCTAACAGCACTGTTGCCTGCCTCATCTATCCCTTCCAATTGAGGATAGGCACACCCTTGGGTGTTCCTGGGTTACATTAGCGTGGGGGAAAGAGATAGGTGAAGTTTCCATTTCAATGTTATTTGATTTTATGCACATTTTCCATGAACACTGCAACTAACAAGGTGCCAGCAACCACTGCACTGCCTGTGGTTGCTCCAGGCCCTGCTGTGCCTGACGCACCATGGCCTCCATGTGTTCCGCAGGGTCCTGTGGGTGGGGAGACCCAGTCCAGAGTGCCTGGGTCAAGCACCATAGGTGCTCCATTTTCCCCAGTTTCTTCACTTCTTTCTGAAGCATGGTCAGCGATGAAAGCTGGGACAGAACTCCTCTATCCTTGTCCCACCCCCATCTTGCAGCATCAAGGTCTTTCCACCCAGGGCATAACTCATGATCATTGTTGTCCTACCCAAGTCTCTCCATGCAGACAGGTACAGTGGACCTATATCTAGTTTCCTTCCCTCATACAGCTACTCCTGTACTGTTGAGGTTGCAGAAGAAATGAGCAGGACTTTCTCCTTCCTTTTTGCATTGGGTGCAGTTGGTGTAGTGATAAAAGTTATAATTTATGAATGCTCCTTAACTTAGAAGACTGAAAAAGGTAGGAATTGGGAAAAGGTGTCTCAGAGAGTAGCTAGTTAGAGAGAAACTGGGTTGCAGAGGCTTGCTTACTGCTCCACAATAATTGTTGTTGTTTAGTTCTTCTCATTCCTTGTATGCCTGTGTTTATTGAACTTAATGATCACTACAAGGTGTAAGAAGTGGCACATGAGAAACAACTAAGAATTTGAAAGGATCTGAGATCAAAGCTGAAGAAGTTGGAAACTGAGACGTTAGAAACAGTTCTAGCTTCTGCTGTGCCACCAGCAAGTGGAACAATGCAGCCACATGCAAAGACAAAGGCCTCTAAGTGCCC